GTAGAATTGGACTTACCTGCTTCTCGGAGAAAGAGGAGGAGAAGAAGTCAGGAACGGTTGATGGAAGCTGGTTGAGTTGCACACGCTTTTATACTGTTGTCGGTGGCCTCTCTCTGCCTGGGAACAGCCTCTTGGAATGTAAAATATTATCCTAATTAGAGGACAACAAATTAGTACCTCGTGTTGCATGTCATGTATTTCTTTTTATGGTCCATTTTGCAATTGTTTGTGATGCTTCGTTTACTGGACACTCTGTCTTAATGTTCAAACAATTACCCTGTTTCCCCGAAAATAAGACCTAACCTGAAAATAAGCCCTAGTTGAGTGATACCCCACCCTCCACCCTCATGCAGCAACCAGAAAATGACATGTTTGTAAAATAAAACATCCCCTAAAAATAAGCCCTAATGCGTTTTTTGGAGCAAAAATTAATATACTGTATGACCTTGTCTTATTTTTGGGGAAACACGGTAGTTAAGTCTGTTTTGAACGCAGACATTAGATCTCATTATGGAACATTTTGTGCTGATGACTCTGGTTCTTTACTAATACAATCCCTGGATTCTTCTTGGATCCCCTTGGCAGTTTGCCTTGAGGGTACCGGATGTCATCCACTGGGGGTACACATTGACCACATCTGAGTAAACCAATGACCAAGATTGAACAGTGCAACTTGGAGACTATTCTTAGTGGAAATGGCTAATTCCACTCTATTCTTACCTTAATTGGCTAATTTCTTCCCCCAGTGCACTAGTCCTCTGCGGATCAGAGGGGTTCCTAGCCCACCAGGGTATACATGAAACCAGAACTCAGAACTTTATTTTTAAACATTTATTACATTAGCTTTCAGAAGCCAAGCGAGTGCTATTTTTATTACTGCTTTGGCAAGCAGTTTTTCATTGTACATTAAGATCTTTTGTTCTCATTATCGGCAGGCCAGAAAAATACAGGGATACACTCTCTGGCTCCTTATAGTGGCCAATCTTCATATTTCACTTCGGAGATACAGTGGTGCCTCACATAACGGGCGCCCCGTTTAACGACGAATCCGCATAGCGACAATGTTTTTGCGATTGCTGTTGCGATCGTATAACGATGTTTCCTATGGGGGAAAATTGCTTTGCAATGATTAATAAGCTGTTTAGCTTACCGATTTTCGCATAGCAATGTTTTTTCCGCAGCTGATCAGCGTTTCCAAAATGGCTACCAGGTAAAACAGGGACGGATTCCTCGCTTACCAGGCAGCTAAAATGGCTGCCGTATGGAGGATTTTTGCTTAAATGGTAAGTTTTTTGCCCATTGGAACACATTAAACGGGTTTAATTCATTCCTATGGGCTTTTTAATTTTGCATAGTGATGAATCTGTATAGCGACGATTTTTGCTGCACGGATTATCATTGCTATGCGGGGCACCACTGTATTTATAATGTACAAAAGATAAAACCAGAGAATGCTTCCTTTCTCCACCCAGGTTTGAGAACAGAATGGGGATAACATTTTCAAAATACTCTGCCATAGCATGTCTAAAAAGTTCTTAAACTGCCCTTTGAAATTCTCATTTAACAGTAACTTAGGGGTTACTCATTACACTTAAAAGTAACCTTGTAGCTACTAGTTACATGGCTTGTTCTTCAGAAAAGGTAATTATATGCAGACAACTATGTTACTTGAAACCAATTTCTTCTAAGCTTCGATTGATACACCCAATTTGCTTTCCTTGAATGTCATGTCCTGAAGTGCCAATTAGTCAGTAATTCTGAGAACCAAAAGCATTTATGTGGCTTTAATCTGTGTTCACGAAGTTCAGATGTGCCACTAAAGCAGAAACAAGTTAGTATTCCCGCAACACTCCTTTGAACCGCAAGTCCTTTATGATCTTCCCTTTATGGATGGGAAAATAACAATATAAACCCATCAATAGAGCAGCTGACTCCTATAAATAAGTGGGAGGGGCAGGAATTAGTTACATGGCTTGTTGTTCCAAATAAGAAGCCTTTGATCAGAAATAGAAGGACATTACGTGTTGGCCATTAGGAAGTCTTGTTTGTTCAACCTAGTTGAGTCTAGTAGATGTTGCTGGTCAACAACTGAGGTACTAGGCTCATAAGTGTGACTGGCTCATAAAATCGCAGACCAGTCTGTACCAAATTTGCACCGTCTGACTGTTCTTGCATTGGAACCCAATTCAAAGTGATGGTTTTACCATTAAAAGCTCTAGGGGGACTTGAACAATGATCAGGTCTTCGGTCAAACCAAGGTGATTTGTTTCCGTTGTTGTACTGCTCTAACAGTGAAGAACTTTTCCTCTTGTTCAGTCAAAATCTGGCTTATTGTAGTTGGAGCCCGTGATTACATGTCCTGCACTTTGGGATGATTGAGAACAGATCCTGCCCCTCTTCTGTAGGACTACCTTTCAAGTACAGTGGTGCCTCACTTAACGGGTGCCCCGTTTAACAACGAAGCCGCATAGTGACCAAGATTTTGCGATCGCCTTTGCGATCGCATTGTGATGTTTTAAATGGGTAAAAATCGCTTTGCGATGATCGGTGCCCTGTTTTGTTTACCGATCATCGCAAAGCGATGATTTTTTAACAGCTGATCGGCGGTTCCAAAATGGCGGCTGGGTAAACAAAATGGCCACCCGCTGTGTTTTCACGCCGATTCCTCGCTTACCAGGCAGCGAAAATGGCAGCCGTATGGAGGATTTTCACTTAAAGGTGAGTTTTAAGCCCATAGGAATGCATTAAACAGGTTTTAATGCATTCCTATGGGCTCTTTCTTTTCGCATAGCGACGAAATCGCTTTGCAGCAATTTTTGCTGCACGGATTATCGTCGCTATGTGGGACACCACTTGTATTTGAAAAGTGTTGTCGTTTTGTCCTCAAACAGCAGTAAAACATCCCCCTCTGGTTCACCAGAACCTTTTTGAAGGGGGTCTCTTGATGCGTCAAGTCACCCATTTTCAGTGAAGACACAAAGTTTTGTGAGTATTCCTCCCGTCCTTATTCTGTGCCTTCACAGCTGGAACTCAATGGAAGCATCCCTTGGATTTTGTTTACCTGGTCTTTGCGCAATTGCAAATGAGTGATGCGTCTTGGTCAATGGGAGACATAAAACTTCATAATCACAGGGCTGAAGCGCAGAAGGATGAGCTGCTGTCCTTTTAATGGGGAATCATATGGAATCTAATGATGGTAGATATCATCCTGAAACTATGGCCATAAATGATGATGCCGACACAGCATTTTCCATGCAAAGGGAAGCTTTCCAACGCCTTGGAGGCTGGCTCAGAAACTTTATAAAAGCATAAAAGGGGTGTTGAGCTTCCATCTGCCTCTCCGGTCTCCAGATCGTGCTTGCTTTCCTTCTCCTCTCTCCAGCATCAGGTATGTTAAATGTCATTTGCTATTTTTAAAAACTAAAATATGATGCCATTGGGCAGGCGGGAGGATTATTCAAAGGGAACACAGTCCTTATTTTCTTTTTTCCTCTGCTGTTTCCATGCAAGTATCTCCCTGTGCTGACAGGTTCAAGGCTAGTCAGTGAGTTTTACGTCTGGAGAAAGGTCTTAGTGATGGAGGATAACTGCAATACCTCAGAATCTCCACTAGATGGACCACGTTCTTCCGTGTTCTTCTCCAGAGAGAGAGGGAGGGAGAGGGACACAAACACACACACACAAACAAACAAACACACACAATTTATGTTGTGTTCTTGTGTACTTTCAGGTCCACCTTGTATTTGCATGGAGATGGCCCTTTGCTACAATGTCTGCATCTAAGAGTTCAGTAGCAGCACTTCTTGCGTCACCCATACCTTGGGTTCAGAATGTACCCTCCAGCGTCACCTGTTGAGATGATACTTCCAGATATAGTTAGGTGTGCTTTCCTAGCTTTGGCTGGTGTAGACGTACATTCCCCATGTGTCCCTGCAGCTGCTACAGCATCTGAGATGGTGCTGATGGTGGTGGCTACAGCTTGGAGAGACATACAACTGGCTTTGTGTGTTTGTCTGCTTCTTTGTGTTGGTCCTACCAGGACTACTTCTAAAGAAGGAGAGGTAGGCAACTAAGAAGGCTGCGTCTCAGGTCTAGATGAGGAATCCTGTCAGATCTTGACTGGCCATGATGTTCATCAGTGAGGTTATTGGCCAAAACAATTTCTGCACAATTGAACATGTGCGACTCAATTCATTGGCGAAAAATCCCCATGGTCACTCCTGCTGTCCCCAAATATTAAAGGAAACATCCTAGAAATACGTATTTCTAATGGTGACATTACCAGAACTGGCCATGAGAGGGAGCTAGAGACCATATTGTTTGCTATAATCCACATTTTTCAGCATCCACGGGTGAAGGGTGGTGGGCTTGGAACCGATCCCCAGCAAATACGGGGGGCCTACTCTATTTCTCATAGAGATGTTTATTTTAATTTACTTTTAAAAATGTTTTTATTCTTGTTTTTAAATGTTGAATTGTTTTTAATACAATTTTTTTAAAAAATAAAAAATGTGATTGTCATGAATTTTGAATTGTTGTGGATCCTTTCTATGGGGGGAGAGACAGTGGAGTCGAAGTGATATCAACGGACTTGAGTTTTGAAGTTACGTTCGGGTCCGTTTTAAAGACTGAAAGAATAAACACGGTCAACGCAATCTGTGATGCAGACAAAGCTTTATTAGAGAGTGAACAGTGCCTCGAAAACAGGCAACACAATCAGTGCACACACACAGAGAGAAAGATGTTTGGGTGTCCCAGTGTGGTTAAGGATCAACGGGTTCTTTTGAAGAAATCGAAGAGAGCAGAAGACATGCAGAGTATGAGAAAGAAATCATAACAAGGGTCAAGCTTTTCCATAGGTACTGAGCATTAGGGTTTCTATAGAACTACACGGGCTCAGCATCCTTTGAAGACCAGACCCATAAGCATAGAGCTGCAGGATCCGTCCTGGAGCTTGGCACTTTCACGATCAGCTGGGTTTCCTGAGGTCTCTCTTGAGTTTAACAGGGTGATGCACAGAAGGGTTTGGACTGACAGATTCCCTGGAGACCACTCCCGTAGGAACCTCTGTAGCCGGATCCCGAAGCACAAGGGGAGTAGCCGCCCACCGCCAGGGGCTCGCAGCTGGCAGCCAGGATGGCTCCAGGGATGACCATGGTGACAGATGGTGGCTGGACCGTCACCTCCGATGATGGAATTTGGGTGATGCAGCCCACGGCGGCTCCAGAGGTTATGCCCAGGGCACTGGCTGGCACCCCGCCGTAGCCACCGTAGCCGCCGTAGCAGCCGCTTGATGCAATCCCGCAAGGGCTGGCTGGCACCCCGCCGTAGCCGCCGTAGCCGCCATAGCCGCTGTAGCAGCCGCTTGATGCAATCCCGCAAGGGCCGAAGCCCACAGATGGTGTGGAACTGGGGATGGCACAAGATGGAGGGCAGCAGGACATGTTAAGATGATAACTGGTGGCTGCAAAATAAGAAGGAAGGCAACAGTTTCACCAAATCCTTTGGGTTGGGCTTAAACATACAGTGGTGCCTCGCTAGACAGTTACCCCGCATGACGGTTTTTTCGCTAGACATTGACTTTTTGCGATCGCTATAGCGATTCGCAAGACAGTGATTCCTATGGGGGAATTTCGCTGGACAATGTTTGGTCCCTGCTTCGCAAACCGATTTTCGCTATATGACGATTTTGACAGCTTCCTCCACACTCGCAAAGCGGGTGTTTTTGGGACCTATGCTTCACAAGACAGCTTTTTAACAGCTGATCAGTGGTTCGCAAAGTGACTTTCCTATGGCCGATCTTCGCTAGACAACGACGTTTCTTCCTCATTGAACACATTAAACAGGTTTCAATGCATTCCAATGGGGAAATGCTTTTCGCTAGACAATGATTTCACTAAACAGCGATTTCAGTGGAACGGATTATCATCGTCTAGCGAGGCACTGTATATTTTTTTGAGGATGGAATCAAGGTGACCATGTTAGCAATATGTCTAGAGATGGGCATGAACCAGTTTATAAAGGTGCTTCCCTCCCTCACCTCCTGAATGGATCAGCTGCTCACCAGGACCAGCTTGCTTGCTTCCCCCCCCACCCGGCTAATCTCCCAGTCATGAGCAACAGCACAGACTTCTCTGCTTTGCCCTTTTGCCAGAGAAGCCTGAGCTGTCGCCGGTACTGGAAGATCAGATGATGAGGTGCAAAAAGCTACCACGCTGGGCCCAGTGAGGGGCTGAGGCAGAGGAGGCAGGAGAGGGGAGGAGCAGCACCTGTGATGTCGCCTTTACGAACTGGGACGAACCGGTTCGTGCCCATCTTTAATCATGTCATGATTCAGATAATCATTTCTCCGGATGAAACCATCTCTCTTCAGTACTCAGATATAACATCAACCATAGCTACAGAGTCGCTACTCTTTAAATATTGACCACAGCCTGAAAATGATGAGCTTTTGCTTGACCTTTCTTGCATCACAAAGCAGTGAAAAAAATCAATAAAGAAAGAACGAGAAAACACCAGTGCTATTGAAACTTTGAACTGGGAAGTCTCTCTTTGAGACACCTGAAGGAGGCAGAAGTACATGTGTCCTCGAAATTCATCATCTTCTTGTGGGCAAAACTGAGGCTGATGTTTCCACTGAATTTCTCCAGGGGCAAATGTCCTCCTCAAACTGGAGAAATTCAGTGAAAACATCATCCTTATTTTTTTTTGTCCACAAGAGGTTGTTGAATTTTGAGGAAACATCCGCGCCTACCTTTAGTTCTACAATTGTACCGTACCCGGTGCGTCTATCTGGTTTTACATGGTAAGAATTACAGTACTGGGAGTGAGTCCCTGAAACAGAAATGGAATAAACCAATGAAGAAATAAAGAGAAAGCGTCTTACCTGGGTTTTTCAGGAGAAAGAAGAATCAAGCGATAGTCAGCTTGCAAGTAGAGAAGAAGAGTCGAGTATAAGCAGACATTGGCTCGGTGTTCTTTTTATACGCTTTCCTGGGTCTGCAAGGAGGAAGGGAGACACCCATCTTCGCCTGGGGATTTCACGGCCTCTGGCGGATGTGCGCCAGGGCTACCCGCAAATCCAAATTGCTTTGTTTGTCTTTGAGATCACAGGCCTTTGTGAGCCACTCACAAATAGCTCCGTCCACCCTAGATTTATTGTCAGTTGATGGCTCCCTTTTTTCTTTTCAAACCACTGCCTTGAGGTTTCAACAAGCTGCGGTTCCTCAGCCGAATGAAGCAGGCCTTGCAATTCAGCAGTTCTCGCTATCTCTTCTTTTTGAACCAAAGTGTCAGCAAGAATTTAGCAAGAAAATTACAGAGGCGGCCACGCATGGACCTCAAGGCTAAGGGACAACAAACTTCTAAGAGCCTTTGAACTGACTCAGGTCCTTGGTCTTATCTAGCCCAGTTAATTGCCTCCTCTGACTAGTAGGGAACTCCTTAAGAACTTCCCAAAGTCTTTCCTAAGACTGCATTCACAAGGGCCCGAAAAATGAGGTGCTCTGTCTCTACACCAGCCAGCCTCTTTCCCAGTTGTCACACAATATGTTCTCCAGAACCTCTTCCATAACGCGCTGATGGCAAGAGCGACCAAGGTCATGTCAATGCATGCCAACGGTGGTTGGTAGGTGGAGGCCTGAGCTGTGATCTCAGCGATCAGGGAGCTCAACCTCATGGCTCTCAGTAGGAAGGTGCTCAGACATCCTCATCCTTTGGGTCCATACATGACCTGGATTCTATGTTGTCTTCTTCTTCACACTATGATTCTAGAGGCTCGAAAGAGAACCTGGGTGGCTAGCCATGGTTGATGAGCTAGCAGCTCAGGTTGGCATGGCTAATGGGCTATTTAGTTTAGGGATGCCGGGTCTCATGATGCTGATGGACGTCTACCTTTCTCCTGGTCTCCAGGTGGGATTGCTGTGCTTCTCCAGATCTACTGGAGCAGTGGTCACCAACCTTGGGCCTCCAGATGTTGCATTAATGTTCAAAACCCTTGTCTTCATCAAAGGAACAGATTTCTCAGTTCAGCTTCCTTTTACTAAATGCACAGGAGATCAATGGGGCTGATCTTGCGGCTTCCATGGTTATCCCCATAGATGTCTTAGAAAACATTTCATCTTGCTGTGAAGATGTCCTAACTCAGTGGTCCCCAACCTTGGGCCTCCAGATGTTCTCGGACTTCAACTCCCAGAAATCCTGGCCAACAGAGGTGGTGGTGAAGGCTTCTGGGAGTTGCAGTCCAAGAACATCTGGAGGCCAAAGGTTGGGGACCACTGTACTGGAGGACCAGTCTCTGTTCAAGTGATGGTGGGGAGGAGGTTCATTTGATTGTTCAGGGTGATTGTGATGCCACTCATCTCTTTCCCATTTCCAACTCATGTCTTGTTCTTATGTGGTGCAGGCATTGCCTGTCCCACTTTTTCCTGCCCAAGTGGGTACAACCAGACAATATTGCAATGCCTGAAACCTGAGCAAATTTGGAAGCTCCCGGCCTAGCGATGCTTATTGAACTGCCATGCTCAACTCCTAAACCCAATGAATGTGCTAAGAAAACCAAAAAGCAAATGAAGGCAATTGATGGCACAGCTCAGAGCCCATGAATACAACAGCCACACTAAGCAGATGAAAACAAAAAAAGAAATGAAGATGGTTTTAATCTGAAAAATTTCGGCTAGTGGGTTTAGACCAGTGGCTCTCAACGTTGAGTCTTAGACTAAAACTTTCTGGGAGTTGCAGTCCAAGAACATCTGGGGACCCAAGGTAGGGAACCAATGAATTAGAAGAAAAATCTTCAGATGGGACAGAGGAGCAATATGTGTGCATTTCTTGATTAGCTACAGCAGTGGTCCCCAACCTTGGGCCTCCAGATGTTCT